GTTTCATGTGATGAAGATCTGCTTGTGACAGATACCTTGCTGAATTATTTTGTCAGAAAAGAACATCATTGGAGAGAGAAAGAGAGAGAGAGAGAGAGAGAGAGAGAGAGAGAGAGAGAGAAAGAGAAAGAGAGAGAGAGGACTGAATTTTAGGTTGACAGTCTTTTTTTTTTTCCCAACACTGTAGATCCATGGTCCTCGATTATACAAACAATCTGGGGGGGGGGAGCATTTTAAAGAAAAACTTGAACATGGTGGTATGAAGATATACTGAAATGGAAAGTTTGGAACCATGGAAAAATAGGTTATGAACTAGAATGCATATCATGATGCCACTAACTGTGTTAACCCTGTGCAGTAAGTGTACTGCATGCATTAGGAACACACAACCTATAAAGACCCGCAAGGATGAAAGGCTAATGATGGCTAGATTTCACCTTTGAGGCCAGGGGGTGAGATCCTGATAAATGCTCCACTCTTCTTCTACACCAGCGTGAATATATATATGCCCCTGCCAGAGGCTCTCCAAGGCAGAGAACTCCGCCTTCAGGCAAAGGCAGCGCTCAGGGCTGCAATCCACTAGACCAGACCTGCAGTGAGGAGTTTTGCCCACCGCCCAGGAAAAGGACTTAGCTGAAGAGAGAAGGGCAACTAGACGATCCAATCCATCCCCAAACCAACAGTGAGCTCAAGCTGTTAGTGGGCCAAAGACCAAAAAGTGACTAGAAAAACTCCCAACAGAACAGTTTCCGTTTTCCCCCAAATCAAGGAAGGGCTGACTCAAGCAGTTTCCGCCAAACCCACGCGGGTGCCAGGCCTGCTCCGCTAGACCTCACAGGCAGGTGACCAATTCACGCCTGGAACGCCACCCGATCACTGATCGGCAGGATTTGTGCCAGAGGCTGAGTTCTGGAAGGAAAACATTCGTGGCTGTTTGCAAGTTCTGCTTTTCAAGGCGGTCAGGAGAAGCGGAGCGAACGAGAGAACTGAGTTTGAAAGTGAGAGCCCAGGTACGACCTTCGCGGGGACCAGGATCGGATGGGAGGCGAGAGGCAGAGGGGAGGGCCTGGGAAGAGCTTTTCTCCGCTTGAATGAGTTGTATCCTGTCTTGTGCAATTCATATAGGCATATGAATAGATTGATTGGTAGATGCAGGCCGATGGGCCGGTGATGGAGGGCTAGGAGAGAGGAAGCGCAGGGACGAGTATGAATGGCGGCGGAGACGGAAAGAGGAACTAAAAACGCCAGGAACAATCAGAAGCTCTAAGTATCTAAAGTTTGGGATTGTTTAAGTTTAGTTAATCAAACACATTCTGAGTTTCAAGGTTGCCGTTATTTAGTAGAGTTATTACTGGTCTCTTCGTTTCCGCGGCTGTGGCAGGCAGCTGAGCAAACCATTGGAAAAAAAAGGCGGGACCTTAGTGCCAGCCCCGCAAATGCACTGGACCTGGAGTCAGGCCAGGCTTCGGGTGCTTAGAGCCCCGCAGCTCCCCACCGCCACCACCGTGGTCTAGCCCGCCAAATCCCGGACCTGGTGGCCTGAGCAATTCAGAAGCCAAGGTGACATGTGTGTGTCTCTCCTGCCTGAAGGGCCCGGGTATTTTATCAAGCTCAGCTGCAAGTTCCTTAAAAAGCGTGAGTGATAGGGAATGATC